ATAATTAGTGTTATAATAATTTGGTGCTTTTCCTGTGAAGTCTATATCTGCTCCAATGGACTTATCTGGTATAAATTATGGATAACATTGACAGTAATAGAATATTAATGCTACAAGTCTACTAAGGTAGGTTGACATATCAATGTGTATGTCAGTGATATAATTCTACTAGTATATATTGAAATATGAAATGTTGACCAGGGTCACAAAGATCCTTGGAGAAAATAGGTTACTTTTAGGTAATCTGCATGCAATTCCCCATATGACTTTTTTTTTAAGCCAAATCTAGGACAATATTACACAGAAGAATGAAAAAATCAACTTTAGTATCAACCAGAGAATTTTTTCAAAATATTTATATCCTGATTTTTCACTATTTGCCTTACTCATCCTTTCAGCATATAAACAACTCTGGTATGGAGAGAGCAGTTTGATTATATGTGTTTTAAAAAAGAAAAGCTCCTTAAGTGATTCAGAAACCCCTATAAACAAAGAAACAGCTCTTTAGAAGGTCAGAGGCAGTGCTTTTCTGTCTGTGTGAATTCCTCCTAGTAAAGAAGCTATTTTGCTTCAAAATCAACTCTGGATGTAGAGGATTATTACCAGGGAGTTACATTCAGTTTTCTCCAGGGTAGCAGTCTGAATTTTGATAATATTTTTTCCTCCTTCAGTCTTTGATGCCAGAAATAGTATTGAGCATTCACTGTAGGCAAGGCATTGACACGCACTGTAAGATATAAAAAAAAGATGAATGCTACTGCTCATCTTTAAGGAGGTGCAGTATACTAGAGCAGATGTAACAGTTCCACACCTAAGTACAACATTAAGTGAGAGATATGCAAAAGGAGTAGACTGCCCTATTGGAAATTAGAAGATCATAAGATCATTTATGACTTCAAGGACCAAGAAAGGCTTAATATGCAATTGAAAATGGGGTTTTTAAATGTTGTCAATTTCCAGGAAAATTAGTAAGTAGGCATTTGCTTATAATGCAACATTGTTCATAAATTTAAGATTTAATTCATGGTATGGAAGTTTTAGGTACTTCTTGATTAAAAGAATATTTGAATCATTCTCTTATAAGTAGCATCCATAAACATTTTAATGCATTTGAAGATGAAGTCTTTCTAAAATAGTCCCTTTCATTATCTAAGAGCATATAGCTATAAAATCCAAGTTTTATTTAATTCCAAAGAAAGTTTCTTGAATGAATCAAATCATATTTGTTATATTTATCTGTCATGGTGCACTCTGACTTTCCTGACTCATTAAACAAAAGTCCACAAATATGAATTAAATAAATTAAATATATATATATATATATATATATATATATATATATATATATATATATATATCTGTACATATACACACACACACACACACACACACACACACACACTAGAGGCCTGGTGCATGAAATTTGTGTGGTGGTGGGGGGTCCTTTACCCCAGCCTGCTCCCTCTCCAATTGGGGACCCCTCAGAGGATGTCCAACTGCTGATTTAGGCCCAATCCTGCAGCAGCAGTTAGGGGGCGATCCAGGCAGTCAGACATCTTTCTCACAAACCCAGACCACTGGCTCCTAACCATTCACCTGCCTGCCTGCCTGATGGCCCCCTAACAGCTCCCCTAGCAACCTGATTGCCCCCTAAGTGCCCCCTTACTGGCCTGATTGCCCCCTAACTGCCCTCCCCTGTTGGCCTGATCATCCCTAACTGCTTTCCCTGCCTCTGCCTAGGCCTCTGCTGCCATAGCTTTGTCTGGAAGATGTTCAGTCTAATTAACATATTGCCCTTTTATTAGTATAGATATATTCAGGATGCTTACAAAGCATGCATATATAAATGGATTGTTGTTTTATTGTTTTTACGAATCATTGGGTCTTGGCTAACAATAAAAATTGTGTTATGTAGACAATGGTCATGCTCATAATACTCATGGTCATTTTTCTAGCACTGAACAATTTGTGGCATGATAACTATTTCAATTTTTTGCTAATTTCACATTAGTGGCATGTTTAATATTTAAAGTGGTGGATACATTAGGCCATCTTAGTCAGATGCTTACTAGTCTTATTGCGGTGATTATTTTATAAGGTATATAAATGCTAAATCACTATGTTGTACACCTGAAATTAATATACTACTATATATCAATTATAATTAAATGAATGTAAAATATTTAAAGTGAATTAATTACTATTTCTAAGTTGTTTTAATAATTTATTCACTCATTCATTTCAATAAAGCTTTATTTATTGCTTTATTTATTTTGTGCAATGTTATTGTAGTACCAAATAATGTTTCAGCTTTTCTTTTTCTTTTTTTTTTTTTTTTAATATATTTTATTGATTTTGTATAGAGAGGAAGGGAGAGAGATAGAGAGCTAGAAACATCGATGAGAGAGAGTCATCGATCAGCTGCCTCTTGCACACCCCCTACCGGGGATGTGCCCGCAACCAAGGTACATGCCCTTAACCGGAATCGAACCCGGGACCTTTCAGTCCCCAAGCCGACGCTCTATCCACTGAGCCAAACCGGTCTCGGCTGTTTCAGCTTTTCTAAAATTAGTTGTGCAGAGTATATATTTTGGTCCCTAATAATAAACCAAAATTGTACAGCTTAACTTACTGAAAATATATATAACTCACCCTGGCCAGTATGGCTCACTTTGTTGGAGCATTGTCCTATATACTGAAAGATTGTGGGTTTGACTCCCAGTCAGGATATTTACCCAAGTTTTGAGGATTCTACCTCTGGTTGGGGTCCCCACAGGAGACAACTGATGTTTCTCTTTCTCATTAATGCTCCTCTCTTTCTCTTCCTCTCTCTCTAAAATAAATAAAAATTGGAAAAGTAAAGAAAATACATACCTCTGGTTTTCCAAAATCTACCCTTCATGATATGAGAAAAGCTTCTATATTGCAATGTTAAAAAAAAAATTAAATGAAAACTTATCACCACCTATAAAATACACTATAAGTCCTCATATTCACCTTATTTACTAGTAAGCTGTAGCTAATAAGTAGTAATTTCCAGAGTGTGATGCTAGTATTAATGATCAAGGCCAGCCTGCCTATAGACCAAGGAAATAAAATTTGAGTGGCATGTCTGTGTTTATCCTACTTGCTTCTTCTCTTAGTTTTGAAGCCTTTTCTTTGATTTTGCAATCCTTCAATGATCTGTACCCTTGAGTTTTTTCAGAATGGCTTTTTAAAATCCAAAATTCGCTCCTTATAAAGCAGGCTTTCTTTTATTTCTATTTTTGTTCTTGCTGATATTAAACAGCTCAACTCATGTCATGCAGAAACTATAGGCAGTAAATGCTCATGAATGACTTTATGTAAGTGCTCTAGAATGCCTGCAAATATCTATGAAATCTTCTAAAATTTCCTTGAAGCTTCTTTTTTAAGGACATCCTAATGTTAGGAAAAAGTGATATGTTCCAGGCTAAGTAACTCTCTTCTGTTACTCAAGCACTTTTTCATTCTTTTATGGCTACTCCATACCTGTCTGCAGTTGTAATGGATGGGAAGAATATTCTAAGTTTCTATACTTATCTTTTGAGGGCTGTTGTTTAACTCTTAGTAGTATTACAAGAGGAAGCCATTTTACACAAACACATAGCAAATCAGGCAAAAACAAAACAAAACAAACAAGAAAACCCCAAAACAAACTTGAATGATCCAATCTCTGGCCTAAAATATATTTTTAATATAAATTGGTCTCCATATATATAGTTTCTTTCAAATGCATAGATTGAATGATAGGATTATAATTATTTATCTAGTTCTGTGTAATTTTGACCTGTTATCATTTGGAATAAATCTTATCTACAGACATCTATACTAATAAAAGGGTAATTTGCAAATTCATCATGATATCCTCACAGTAGCAACTGAACAGCAAGCCAGCAGGGGGGTTAGCAAGGGACAGCCAAACGACTGACCAGCAGGCTTCGTGGGGTGATCAGGCCAGCAGAGGGTGGTAGTGAGGGGTGACCAGGCAGGCAAAGTGGGGGAGTGGCGGCAATCAGTCAAGGTGGGGGGCAGTTGGGGGCAACCAGGTGGGTGGGATGACTATTGGGGGTGACCAGGCTGGCAGAGGGGTGGTTGGGGGTGTCTGAGCTGGCAGGGGAGCAGTTAGGCATTGATCAGGTTGGTAGGCAGAGGTGATTAGGGGTTATCAGGCTTGCAGGGGAGTCAGTTAGGGGCAATCAGGCAGGCAGGCAGGTGAGCAGTTAGGAGCCAGCAGTCCTGGATGGTGAGAGAGATGACTGACTGCCGGTTTCGGATCAATTCCAGGGATCAGGCTGAAACCGGCAGTTGGATATCCTCTGAGCGGTCCTGGATTGGAGAGGGTGCAGGCTGGGTTGAGGGGATTCCCTCCCCCTGTGCATAAATTTCATGCACCAGGCCTCTAGTAAATTTATAATAGCTTCAAAATATTGGTGTGAGATGTCACAGATTACTTGTATTAGTAGCAGTACTACAGCAGCTATCATCACTGCCATTTTTCATTTAAATAATTACTCTATTAGAACCTTTACATATATTTTTATTAAATCCTCACAATAACCTTAACAGAACAATAGAGAAATATTATACCTTTATTTTACAGATGAAGAAACTGAAACACAGAAAGATTAATTTGGACAATGTCAGAAAATGGTAATACTGGAGGCGGGTTTCAAATGGAGACAGTCTGGTTTCTGGAGTCCATGACTTACTTCTTCACTACATGTTTATTCTGTGTTCACTCAACATTCAATAACAACATGTGTGTTAGCCATCAATACAGAAACACACTCAATTATAATAATAAGAGATATCCACAAGGCACCTTGCCTAAAATAATGAAAGGTATGAACAAAAGTAAATGCAACAAAATTAGTTCAATAAAAGTATACCAAAGGTACAATGAAATGTAAGAAACAGTTTAACTTTTATGTGAAACTAAAAATAAGAAAAACATTCATAGAAAGCATAGATTTGTGAACTGTGTCTTAAAAGTAGATTAACATTTGTCAGGAGGACAAGAGAAATGAGTGGTCTAAAATAGAGTTGCCACATGAGTAAAGATATAGCAAAAAAGAAGCCAAAAATCACAAGAAGTTTTTTTTGTGTGTTTTTTTCTTATGGCTTTATAGTAGAAGTGTCTCTAGAGAGTGACGAAGGAGCAAATCTTAGAAGACTATGTATAACATATTGAAGTGTTAATTTTCTCTTGTGGAAATGACTCACTAGGGATTTTAAGCCAAAATGGTCTGGGTTTGAATGTCAAGCCCTTACAATGTGTGATTATATGCAAGTTCCTAGGTCTCTGTAAACCTCAGTTCTCTCATTTGAGAAGTGCGGTTATTAACACTTACCTCATTGTCTGTTTTGATCAGTGAGACAGACATATGTAACATTCATTTGCTCCCTTCTTTCCTAATTGAGTAAAAAAAGAGAGGCAGAAAGAGGGTGTGGGTCTGTCTGTATGTGGGTATAGAGCATTGGAGGTGTTAGTAGTTGTTGGGAGAGTGGGGACTGGCTGTTCATAGGGCTTTCCACAACATTTGCTTTTTCCTGCTTCTTTTTAAAAAATATTTTTATTGATTTTTTACAGAGAGGAAGGGAGAGGGATAGGGAGTTAGAAACATTGATGAGAGAGAAACATCAATCAGCTGCCTCCTGCACCCCCCCCTAATGGGTATGTGCCTGAAACCAAGGTACATGCCCTTGACTGGAATTGAACCTGGGACACTTGAGTCCGCAGGCTGACACACTATCCAATGAGCCAAACCGGTTAGGGCCTTTTTCCTGCTTCTTATGGATGATGGCAGTTACAGTTTCTCTCTCTTAGAACTAGGGCATGGCCATTGACAGACTTGCCTATTGAAATATTTGCAGAAGCAATGAGTGCAGTTTTAAATGGCTGCATTTAACTACCAGAATAAGACTCTGCATTGCTCTGTTCCTCTGCTGTAGTATTCTTAGAGACTTCTAATGAAGTAGAACTTTGGTATCTTCCTGGGACCTGAGTGATTATCAGCCCAACTACCAATTTTTGCTGGGCTTGTATCATTTAAGAGAAAATAATACTTGTTGAGATAAACTACTGAGAATTTGGAAGTAGTTATAAGGCATAACCTATTCCCAACTAATATATAGAACAAACAGAGTGTCAGCTGTTGATGCGGTTTCAAGGAATCGGGGTGGGAGTAGGGAGTCTGTCTTATGGAATGGGGTGAGTGGTCACTGAATGATGAATGGGAACTTGAAATTCAAATACTTCCAAACTCAAGAGACTAATTCAAACCCGAGAGTCTTGGTTCCAAAAGAAAGTCACTACAATAGCAAACTGGGAGAAAGCTGAGCCAACCACTATCACTCTGTGTGTTCCCCACAGTATGACTGATACACGTGTCTGAGGGCCATGGATTGTAGTGATCCTGTGTTAAGATGTAAGATGAGACCAGCATTGTATATGGCATATAACTTAATCTTAAAAAATGTCACTGGCCTTGTTCATCTTTTCTTTCTTTTTTTCTTTTATAAGATCCTGTATTTGCTATTTATTTACCAAATGGCTGGATAGCTCTAAAAATGCTACCTATATAATGATTTACTCCTGCATTTCAGTGTTTTTCTAATTAAGTACTTCACATGCAATCATAAATGTTCCCAGTGTTATTCTCTTGCCTCCATTCACAATTCAGTAGTGAATAAAGCATGACAACACAATCTTTATTTCTTTATTGTTTCATTCATATGAATACCTGCAGAATGTTTTTAATTAAAGCATTTCATTTGGTGACTATGTGAGGGCAGATATTTTGTTAAGGTAAGGAGAAGGTTAAGATACCTTAACAATCGGCTCTGATGACTATACAGTCAGTGAAGGGCTCAGCAAGGAAAAGACTGTAGTTAAAATGTGTGGTGGTGGCAGTTTTATATAATCTACAATGTTATGTTAGAAAACATCTAGGAGACTACAGAATCAAAGATTGTGGAATAACAACACATGCTTGGGAATGGACAAGCAGAAAAGAATCACAAGGCATGAGAGGTACATATGAAGCCTGCAGTAGAAAGGGTTGAAACCTCAAATTTTGTCACCATCAAGTATCCAGTGATCAAAATAAAACTCAATTCACCAGTAACTGGCACGGTTTCATCATTTCCTCACCATGGAAAGGTTCTAACAAGGCCAACATTTCTGCATCTGTCTACTGAGTGCTCTACCTGAGCAAAAAGATAAATTATCTAGGACTTCACAGAAGTTAAGCACTACAGTTAAGTTAATGTATAAGAATAGCCTAGCACTGAGTTTTAGAAAGAAAAGTGATCTTAATATTAACAGTTCCAGTTTAAATTATGTGGAGGGAAACCATAATATCATAGAGTTGTAGGAATTTTAGCAATCACCTGATCTAATATTTTAGCCAATCAAGACTCATTTGTACAAGGTCAAACAGCCTTTGTTTTAACATTTTCAAATGCTTACTTGAGAATACATCATATCCAACCTTTGAAGTATGCTCACTGGGCAGTTAATTAACTTTAAATATTCTATTTAGCAATCATTTTTCTGATAATGAGAAGGGTCTAGATACATTATAATTATACTATTTGAAGTCATACTAAAAATAAGTATTTGTTAATGTTTCATAAGCCAAATGTTTAATGTTTGCATACCAAAAATAAACATAAGGGCTAAAATCAAAATTGTAATTTATTTACTGCAAATTAAATTTCAGAATTAAGACAACCACTATATGGGTATAAGATTTTTCCTAATAGTAATAGACTTCATGCTATAAGTATAAAGTTAGAGCATCAGAATTGTGAGCCTGGTCTAAATTTATACTATAAAGCTCAGGAATTCTAGATATCAACTATAAAATTCTTTAACATGATAAAGGTTAAAATGAAGTCTTGTCTGACAAGTTTATTCAAAGATTTAAAGATTTGCTGTCCAATGCTGCCTCTAAAGCATTATCTTATGAGCTGTTCAAAGTTAGAAATCATACCCACTTTAGTTTGCTCTCACAATAGGTTGGTATCTTTGTACATAATAGGTAATCTTTGCAACTTAGTGTTTCTAAAATAAATAAATATGTCTTAGATTGATGACTAATTATATTTGAAATGCCTTTAAGTTACAGCAGTGGACAGAATTTAAGAGAGAAGTAAGAAAAAGATTGCCAAGAGCTGTTAACTATTAAAGCAGGTGACATATTCACTCAACGTCTTTATAATAAGATGGACAACTCATGCAAATTAAAATTAGCCAGTAGTGCAAAAGCAATAAAGTGATGTCTGAAAATGTAAGAGCATGTAAGAATTTTAATGAAATTTTAAAATGGGTCTGCATTTACATTGAGTCATTAATCTCAATGAGACAGTTGACAGGTATGTATAAGAGTCAGGAGCCACACTACATTGTGTAGATTTAATAATATTATTTAGAAGATAATATTATTTAATACAATTATGAAAAAAGTGTTTACTATAATCCTATAAATAATATAATAAACTTACATATTAAATTGCCTTTCAAATAAGTCACTTCTGGAGAACATATACTTTTTTGGAAATGATTGAGATATGGCTTTTAATTTTAAATTCATCACATTGAAATTGCCTTTACAGTCAGTTTACTGTAACTGTACACTGGTTAATAATGCATATTTTGTAATAAAACAACAACAACACAATAATCACAAGAGAAACATCAAAAGTACTTTATTCAAAGTAATGTCCATCCCTAGATACACATTTCCCCCTTCTTTCAGATAATTTGTGGGTACTGTCCCAATAGAACTTTTCTTGTTTTGAGGCAAACCATTCAGAGACTCAATTTCCGACTTCTTCAATCAGAACAAGTGGAAATTTGAAGGAGCAAGGTCTGGTGAATTCAACGGGTGGGTTAATATTTTCAAGGCAAGATCTTTTAATGTGTCTTCAACTGGTTTTGAAGTAAGTGATGGTGTGTTATCATGAAGCAAAACTGCTGTGTCTTCTGACCCATTCTTTTTTTTTTTTTTTTTTTTTTTTTTTGCTATTAAAGCATAGTTCAAATGGATTATTTGTTGTCGGTAGTGATCAGTATTAATGGTTTCACCTTGTTTTAGAAGCTCATAATACACCACACTTTCCTGATCCCACCAAACTCAGAGCATTGTATTCTTTCTGAAGCAATTTGGCCTGGCAGTCAATGTTGATGGTTGACCTGGATCAACCCATGATTTTGTGCATTTGGGATTCTCAAAATGAATCCACTTTTTATTGGCAGTCACAATTCGATGCAAAAAATACTTTCTTTCATGAGGTTGAAGCAGTATTTTACTGATGACTTTTCGGTTTTCCATTTGTCTTTTGTTCAGTTGATGTGGCACCCATTTTCTTTCCTTTAAAATTTTTCCCATTGCTTATAAACAATCAGAAATTGTTCGCTGAGCAACGTTTAATCTTTCTGCAAATTGTTTTTCAGTTTGACACGCATCTTCATCCAGTAATGCTTGTAATTGTTGGTCTTCAAACTTTTTTGCTTGACCTGGATGTTCTTTGTCTTTCACATGAAGTTATCACTTTTAAAGCATTTAAACCAGTGTTCACAAGTATTTTGAGATGGGCCATGTTCACCATAAGCTTCCCGAATTATACGATAACTTTCAGCAGCACTTTTCTTCAAAATAAAATAATGAATTAAAACTTCCCCCAATTGCTCTTTTTTTGGCACAAAATTTGACATTTTTAAGCATAAAAATATTTATGATGTTAACACCTTCAGCAAATTTGACATAAGAAGTTTTGAAGTTTGCTGTCAACACAACAAAATTGCATACATATCAAATCGCCTATATATCAACATATGTGTAACTCTATTAAAAGAAATCTACCTGCACAATGCATTTGAAGAAGAATGAGGATCATTACTAGGTAGTTGCATCTTGTTGATGTCTGAGCTCCTTCTGAAGAAATGCATTTATTATAAAGAATAAAACTTTGCCACCATTGACAATATTGAAAATAAAATACTGTCAATCCAGAGGTAAGATGGAAGAGAACCTAAGAAAGTGCTCTAAGCAATGACAGCATCACTGAAATGTATGGACATCTTTCCAAGGAAATTCCATGCAGCTGACAATATTCATTTGTTTGGAAAACCAGTGTCTAGTGGGTGGAAAAAAAGAGCTTCTATTTATATCATTCTCTTTCACAGCTGTTTCTTTCCTCACCAAGTCCTTAAACATGGTGTCATATAAGGTTCTGCCATTTTGCTCACTTTTTTTTTTCTCTTTTGATGTCTGTTGTATCATTTAAGGTCCATCACTGACTACAATTATCACTATTATCACTACTAGCTGTGTCTTGTCATGCTACCTTTTTCTTTCCAAATTGACAGTACCTCCAGCCTTTTGTTGGACTTCTCCCTTGAATATTTCACAAATATTTCAAGTTCAACATGATCAAAATAAAACTCATCTTTTACCTTCTTATAAGACCCTCAATCTGTTTTTGTCCCAGCTCTGTGAAGAGAACCACTATTTGACCAATTATCCCAGCCAAATTCATATGCTTATTCTAGATTCTTCTTTTTCTCCCATCTCCACATCAGTGGGTCATTTAATCACATTCTAGAATATATTCTCATTATTACCTCCTCTACATTGCAACTCACTTTATTCAGGTCCCTATAATTTCTGCTTGGAATATAACAGGCTTTGCATGGATCTCCACTTCCAGTGGGGTTGCTAGAGAAACTTCTCTAAAATGAAAATAATAAGCCATTTGCCCCATCTCTCCAAATGCCAATGCATTTCCTTGAACTTTTACAGACAACAGGTTGCATTTCCTCTGTCTAAATGCCCTTCTTCTTATCTGAGCACTGTCTGCTGTATACAACAGTGGTGAGGAACCAAGCACTGGAGCGGGGGATGGGACAGCTTTTCTCTGAGACTCGGTTTAGTGCCATCTCTTGTAAGATGTGTACAAGAGTAACAAGAATGAATTAGTAACTTTGATGTCTGGCATTTGCTTCTTTTCTCTAATAAACAGGATTTCTCTTGAGGGCATTTTTTCTTTTTTATTTATTTATTTTTAATATGTATATATATATATATATATATATATTTACATATATATTTAAATATTTATTGTTGAAAGTATTACATATGGCACCTAATTTTTCCATTGACCCCTCTGCTCCCCAGGCCTTTACCACACTATTGTCTGTGTATATGGTTTATGCATAGATGCATACAAATTCTTTGCTTGATCTCTTCCCCCACCCCCAGCCCCACCCCTACCTAATCTTTTTCTAGGACCTACCCAAGAGGCATGAGGTATTCACTGACTGACTGCATAAATGAGTATGGCTTTCCTGTTTTCCAGGAAATGTAAAGCTGACAAGATAGAAGACATATCCTTTTTTAAAAGGGTTGTTTATAGCCCATTGTACATTTATTTCAATGAAAGAAGATGTAATAAAAATTAAAATTATACTGTGGTGAAATAGTCTATTATTTTAAATACAGAGGAGATTAAACAGTATAATTCATTTAAATCTATTAGGCAGAATAATTATCAGAACATTTAAAAAATTATGGATAAATTTAGGAACTCTATTAACATTCTTAATGCAGAATTTGACAAAACCATGTAAGAAATCTGCATTTTCTTATTTTTAAAGGAATAAAAATGTTTATATATGAATACTAGCAAAGCTTGATGTTATCTTGATGTTATCATCTGCCACAGACTAGTGTTTTTAATAAAACAACATAAGACTATATTTTATTAGCACATATTAGACCTATAAAAAGGTAAATATAATGGCAACTAATCCTATATAACAAAAGACTAATATGCAAATTGTCCTCTTACCCGGGAGTTCAATTGGGAGTTCACCTGGAGCAGGGCCTGCTGGCCAACTACCCATGGCCCCTCCCTTCAGCCAGCCTCTGATCGCACCCCCCCCCCCCCCCGCCCCAATTGGGGTGGGGCCAAACAGCCAACCTTCTGCAACCCCTTCCCCCTGCCAGCCGGGCCCTATCAGCCCTGATCAGGGCCAGCCAGCCGGACCCCACCATGCACTGGGCCTCTAGTATATAACAAAAAAGAAAAAAAATTACCGTATTTTTCAGACCATAAGACGCACTTTTTCCCCCCCAGAAGTGGGGGGGAAAAGTCCCTGCATCTTATGGTCCAAATATAGCCTACACATATACTTTAAAAAAAAAAGTTTTTTACTTGCCCTGCTCTGTGTGGTCTCTGTGTGCTTGCCCGGCTCTAAAATGGTTCTAAATGCTGCTGTTTACTTTACAGGGTTGATTACATGTGTTTATGACTGTGATGTTGGGTTTTAAAGCACATAAAATATTTTAGGACACTATTTGTTTCAGAATCTTTTTTTCTTCATTTCCCTTCTCTAAAAACTGGTGCGTCTTATGGTCCGGAGCGTCTTATGGTCCGAAAAATATGGTAGGTTTTATAATCTGCTCTTCCTCCTCAAGTGTTTTCATAATACAATGAAGATTAACTCAAATCTGATAATATTTTAAAAAAAGGCTTAGTTTTACTTTAAGTTAGGTATATTGCAAATGAGTCTATAGGTAACATCTGTAAATAGCTGTACTAATAAAAGGGTAATATGGTAATTAGACCAGATTTCTTTTGGATGTCCTTCAGGACAAAGCCACAGTGGCTGCCAGGGCCGAGGGCAGGCTGCCATGGCTGGCAGTGTCAGCAGCAGTGGCAGTGTAATGGGGGTAGTGCCTTCCCCTGATCAGCCCAGTCGCCTCCCACAGAGGGAGGCCAGAGGCAGTAGTGGTGGTGGGGTGATAGGGGCGGCATCTTCCCCTGATTGGTCTGGTCGAATCCCACAGAGGGAGGCCAGACTGTGTGGGCCTTAGCCATCAGTAGGACATGCCCTAAGGGCTCCCAGACTTTAATCAAGTAATTCACAATAATAGTCCACATAATCCAAACAACTTATTCAACACAACTATAAAATTTTCCCAGAAAATCTTCAGGTCTATTCCTTATTCTGCAAATAGAGATTTTCACTAAGTCATTTTGATGTCATAATAAGGAAAGCACAATGAATTAATAAGCTTTGGGAACCTTGAACTTCAAGATTTTGGGATATTTGGAAGTAAATATTTAGATCATATCTCTCACATAGGAACTTTCATAGGTTTATCTTTATGTAGAATCAATAGTGACATTGGGGGGATATTAAAGCATTAATTAAAAATTTTAAATATTACCTTAGGTAATGAAAAATGTTATAAATACAGAATTACATAAAATTTTAAATAAATTAAAGGTTTCACAGAAATACTGGCTTCTTGGGTTTCCTTGGTCTCCATTTCCCCAAGCCCTAGAGAAGTGCCTACTCTCTTCAGCCATTATACACAATTACATGAAAATATTTGAGAACGGTTAGTAGGAAACTTACGTTGAATTGTACATTGAAAATCCAACCAAGGCTATTTATTTCTCAACTATTCATGAGAATAAAGAAGCAGTGGTACCAGTGCAATTCCTCTATTCTTATTCCTTGGCTCTGCAATTTTAGATCAAGTTTCCATTTTGACCCACAGAAATTCTTACTGAATTTATATATCCTCAGTATATAAATGTCCAAGAGCAGGAACTTAATAATATTGACAATCACCTGCTTAAAAATGAGTACTTATTACCACAGTAGTGTATTATCAGTATAGTACTTTATAACTTATTTCTAATATTTCAAACCTAAATTTTTTCTATGTTTTTTACTGTTTCTATTTTTTTTTTTCCTATCACACTACATAATTAGCACTGCTGATATTGCTGAAAATGTCATTGGGAAATTTGGTTTTATAACATCACAATAGCTTCAATGAACTAAATTAGTATTATACCTTTATTAATGCATCAAAAACAATAAATGAATTGAACTATTTAAAAAAGTACATATGTAGTCCAGCCTGTGTTGCTCAATGATTGAGCATCAAACTATGAACAGAAGGTTATGGTTCTATTCCCAATCAGGGCATATGCCAGGGTTGCAGGCTCCATCCTCAGTGTGGGGTGTGCAGGAGGCAACCGATCAAAGATTCTTTCACATAATTGATATTTCTGTTGTCTCTCTCTCCCTCTTCTTTCCTCTATGAAATCAATAAAAATATGTTTAAAAAATAAAATAAACACATGCACTATATAATTTCTAAAATTTGAATTAGTATATATGTGCATATATAAGCATACATAGTTTTTATATATTCTATTTATATTGTATTTTTTAAATATTCAGCTTATTTATTTTATACTTTATCATAGATAAGAAAATACTATCAGTAATACTTAATTATATTTCAGTTTTCTGTATAAAATGTTTAGGGGCAATTGCATTATTTAATAATGTAAATAAAGATTATCCTGAAAATACATATTAAGCATAAGACAATATATCTATATTAACTTTAATTAATATATATTTTCCAGTATATTTAAAAGGGATGACATCAGAAATGATAATCTCTCAAATTTGGTTTCTATTTAAAGGTAGAAATTACTTATATGAAAGAAATGACAAATCTCCTGTGATGTGGTTCTTCTGAATTGGTCAGCTGTAGACATCTGTACTATATATTTATGTAAATACTCCCATGTCTATTTGTAGAAGGAACCAAAAGCACGCCTCTCCATTTAAGAGAAATTGAGTTAACCATAAAAAGACACGATATGGAAAAAAGCTGGGTTTGAATAGAGACAAATGTGCATTCTAATTTTACCCGGTGCCATTTATTTTACCAAGGCAAAGGGAAATAATTACTGAGCAGCAGGCTCTACAGAGATTGGGAAGGGGTGGGGACTAACAGACAACCAAAACAAAGGGCATTGTGGAATTGTGTTCAGGAGAAAAACAGTAGAAAATTTTTTTTTTGCATTCCTGATGGCATGGATATTGGTTTTTACATGCTTTTGTTTCACATTGTCCTTGTGAAAATTGATGATGCTAGCTACAGATATAAAAGAGTACCCTTTAAATTTTACTCACTGATGTTACGAGTTATTGGATGCTATTAGGAGCTCTTTTAGAAAGATTTATGGTAATAAGTATTCATCACAAAGCACATCACTCCCAAGAACAAAAAGTGATGCTGCATTCATTTTGTATGCTTAAAAATTCACACGTAATGAGGAAAAACTCTCAGGACTAATTTACAATTGTAAATGGAAAGGAACTTTATAAAGAGATTTTTCTTGTTAATGCCAACAAGAGAAAGAAATTGTGCATATGCAAAGTTTTTGCAAGTATTTACATTGGCTAACAACAAACATTATATCAAGTAATAAGACGGTCTGTTAATTTGTGTAATAATTGAAAATTTGCATTCCGTAATATTGCAGAACTCTAAGCATGAGAAATAAAATTTAGGTGGTGTATTTCTTTTTCTACCTCAGATATGATATCAATGAATTGGCTGATTCAAGTCCCATTTGCATAGGAATTTAATATAATTTAAATTAATCTTTCATTGAAAGTTCACAAAAACAAAAACAACAACAACAACATTTAATCTATATTGTGTTTGATGGAAGGCAAGTGGCAGATACATTTTTTTTTTAATTTTTTTTTATTCTACACCGTTCCACCTGATTAGTTGTACAAGGAAGCAAATTAGGCATACTGTTTGGTTATTTCCTTGCTACATGTCTTATGCAGCATGCTCATATATTTCAGGGAGTGTGATCTAAACTTTATTAGTGTTAAACCCCTTAAATATAAAATGAGATATATTTGTTTTTATTGCTGGTGTAGATGTTTCTTTTTCTTCTCTCTTCTCTTTTCTTTTCTTTGCTTCGCTTTGCTTCGCTTCTCTTCTTTCTCTCTTTTTTAAAAAAATATATATTTTATTGATTTTTTATAGAGAGAAAGAGAGAGAGACAGAGTTAGAAACAACAATGAGAGACAAACATCGATCAGCTGCCTTCTGCACACTTTTCACTGGGGATGCGCCCGCAACCAAAGTACATGCCCTTGACGGGGATCCAACCTGGGACCCTTCAGTCCGCAGGCTGATGCTCTGTCCACTGAGCCAAACCGGTTTTGGCATCTTATCTTCTCTTCTTCTCTTATCTTCTCTCTCTTCTTTCTTTGATCTGTGTGAATGGATTTATTGCTAGTTTGAATTGCACTCCCTATGGTGGGGAAACAGTGAAACAGGAAAATTGGACTGGAACAGAGGTGTTCCCCTGCAGGATGGTTCCTGGGTTCTGCCTAGGTGGAGCAAAAGAATTAAACCACGGAAGAAGGTGGTATAGTAAGATATAGAAATCTATTGAGAAACAAGCTCAGAGTCCCACATGGGGAGGGTGAGAAAGTCCCACTAAGTCCCTTTATTTTCCCCGTTTTTTAAAGGCTGCAGTTCTTTGTGCCCTGACATCCCCTCTGATTGGTTACTATCACCTCTGATTTGGTCACTATAGCAACTTCAGAGCTCAAACCTCAGGTGAGGTACATGTGGTTCTTCTCTTCTTCTCCCTTATAGTTCTCCTATTCCCTTTGGGCTTTCCTCTTCCCTCTCTGAATGAGTGGCTTCCTTCCATTTATTCTGTAAATGTGTACCTTCTGCAGCTCTGTAGCCCTGTGCTTCTTCCATGGACCCCTTAATTGCTAAAATTTCCTAAACCTGCCCATTTTACCCCTAAAAACTCCTTTCAATAGTTTACAACCAAATACTTATCACCTCTAAAATATTAGATTCTCATAAGGAAAATCAACCTAATTCACTCTTTAAAGTTTTGTTCAACCTTGCAGATATTATAGAAAAAAAATATTATTTTATCCTATTTGAAATATTGATGGACAAATTCATTAGAAAGGATTTAAAAAATCACATACTCTTCCATAATAAAATAATTTCACTTTTCTAAATTCTTTATGATCAGCTCTGTTTGCTTTCTTTCCTCTTCTCTGAATATAGCTGAATCAGTTTCAGAATGTTATTTAACTGTGGTGGGTTAAAACAGGGGCATTGATTGTCTGTTTTCTGATTAATTTTTAAAGCTGTCTTCCTTTGAGTCTCAGGGTAAAATCTATATCCCTCAGTTATCCAAGGTCTCATTCTGAATACAAGCGTTTCCTTCCTTCTTCTTCTTTCACTGACCTTCCGTGGCTCTATTCTCAGATGGCTTGCCTCCTTTCCCATAAAGCCCCTTGTTCCTCTTGTTTCATATTGACTTTTAGTATATAATATAGATTAAATACCTTAGAGTACTCAATAAAGTTTCATTGATTGTCTGACTCCAAATCTTCTGTTATATTCTGACCCTTGATCTCTCTTGATCCACTCTCTGAAACTGACCTATTACATGTATTCAATTTCTATTTCCCTGCAACCTGAAGTATAAAATACATTGAAACAGACATCTCTCCTGGTGTGGTAAGGAGTGCTGAAGCAGGGTGACATCCAGATGAAAACTAAAACAAAAACAAATGCAACTAATTACACCCCAGTTCACTCTTAGTCTCCTTACATTGTCACACAAGGAGGTGAGGTTTCTTCCTTGTTTACTTTATCAATGGGGAGCAGTCATTCCAGTTTCCTGAAACAACCTCACAGATGTATGTAGTCTAATCCCTAGAATGACAGGCTGTAAAGCCACAGTGCAGGCTCAATATCCAGTTCTTTTTATCTATGACCTGTGCAAAATACAGTTGTGCTGTCCAGAAATGGAGACCACTGAACTATTTCAGGCTTCTTACTCGGCAGGGTCCTACCCTATACAATTATGGCATTATGAAAAAGATAGGACTTTTTCTTCCTGGGGTAGGTGGATTTCCCTATAGAAGGAAGTGGAGGGCAGGGCTAACCCTACCAGCCTACTTCTCTAAATTTTACAGTTAAGTAAATCACTTTTGCCTTAGGAAGGCACAATGGTAGGGATGGGGCACAAGATCTCCAACATTATTCTAGACATCCCTGCACAGGGAAACCTGGAACCCATTGAGATAGGGTTTCCACACAGATTAAACAAGAAGGACACACAAATTATATTTTTCTTAAACTCATCTTTGCAAACTACCAAGCTCTTAATGATATTTCACCTATCCTCTGGAATCTTTGGTCAGTCTTTTTAGCATCTAAAATATTTTTTATTGGTAAAGTCTTATTATGATAAAAATAGTGATCCTGGCCCCAAGTATAGAAATAGCCATTATACATAGGATCTGAATTAATAAAATATTTACAACCTTTTACATTTAGAAGTCATCATTAGGGAAAAAAATGAGGACACATTTGAGGAAATGTTACTGAAATTTAATTTTAACATAGTTCCTGGGCTTGGTGGCATAGTTCCTCTTTCACTGTCCTGTTCTGCTTCACCAGGAATGCATTTCTTGTTTCTATCCTCTTCTTTTCCTTTCCACTTTCTCTCTCAATGTTTTTGGTAACAACTTATGGAGGTATAACTCACATTGCATCCAATTAGTCATTTAAAGTACAAAATACAATGCTTTTAAATATATTCACAGAGTCATGCTCACCTCCTTTCCCTACCCAGTGTTCATTTCATGGTCCATAATAGCGACCATTTGTTGCAATTCTATTGTGCCACTCTCATTGCCATTCTCCTTTGGTGAAGTCCAATCCTCTGCCTATTCCATTGCTATCCTTTTGTAACTAAATGCAGCTCCCAGGAAAACCCACAACCAATTTGGTCACCTCACTTTAAATTCATAATCACTCACCTCTAATGGGCCCTTAACAATGACTAGTTAGGTTAATTTATACTTTTCAGAATACTCTTAAAAACATGAAGATAATTATTACTAAAGGCCCAGCGCACAAAACTCATATGTTGGTACAGTCCCTAGGCATGGCCTGTGATCAGGGCCATCTTCCCTGGCTACCCGCAACCAGCTCCACCCCCCACCACCACCACCCAACCCCAGTTCCCC